TATTCTCTTAACCAGAATTCTGTGTAGCATGGTGAGACAGATAAGGTCATTCATTTCCTTATAGAACTAACATTTTAGTAAAGAAGAAGTGAAAGAAATGCAAATAATTATGAGATACATGATTGTTTTGAAGGAAATAGAGGAACAGTCTTTCTAGATAAGATAGAAAAGGCTCCCTCACATCCTCTGAGGAGTTGACTTGTAAGCTAAAATATAAAGGAGAAATAACTGAGTATGAGCCATGAAGGCAAGAGCATTACTACTCTGTAGGCCATTGAGGAGGGGAAGAGTGTAGCCTTTTTGAGGCTCAAAAATGAAGGATGGCTAGAGGCCCCTGACCAAAATAGGAAAGTAGTAGGTAATGAAATTGGAAGGGGACGTGGAGGCCAGAGATGTGATAAGGGCAAGAAAACTGCCTAGAAACTGTAACTGCCTTTGTAGCCCCTGGTGATTCGAATTTTGAATGAGGAAAGAGACATCATAAAGGAGATATGGTCTGATTTCTTTCTTTTTTTAGCATTCTTTTTTTTTAAATGTATATAGGGTCTCACTACACAGATCAGACTCCTAGCGATCCTCCTGTTTTCAGCCTCCCAAAGCTGGGATTACAGGCGCGCGCCACCACACCTAGTCTTAGTCCCCATCTCAGTGGGCCCCCAGGGTGGGGCCAGCGCAGCACTCTGGGGATCAAACCTGGTCCCTGTGCCTGCCTAAGAAGGCGCTTTAGTCTGCTGAGCTATCTGGCCGGCCCGATCTGATTTATTTCTGTGTTTTTAGGTGTGTTTGTTACTGTAAGAGGATGGTGACATGGACTAAGAGGAGGAAGATAGAAATAGAAAACCATGGTTGGGTGTGAATAGTACCAGTATTTCACAAATGAAGGCAGTGGATTACTGCAGTTTGAATTAGGCAGCAGGGAGCAGGAACAGTTTTGGAGTCAAGAAGACTGAGAAGTAAGGTGAAGAGGTTTGGGGATGAGGGAGGGGTGGTATTTAAGAATTTTGCCTAAATTTATAAGTTGCAGATTTCCATGAGATATCACAGGCTTGGATCCCACTAAGATTTGCTCAGGATGTATGAATCTAGAATTCTGCCTAGACACGTAAACATGGGAAACACCACATATAGAGGATGTTTAAATCCTAAGGCTTAGTGAAGGGTACATTTCCCTTACCTCCTGAAAACACGTCATGCTACTTATGTGACTAGTTTAAGGAATTGCTCCTTTAGGATACCAGCAGTAATACAAGTGTAGAACTACACCCATTTTACTGCAAAATACCCATTTAAAATTTGTGTCACCAAAGACAGGAAGGTGAAATGGTACCCTCGGCGCCATAAAACCGCTGTCCAAGCTTGTTTTTCAAAATAATCCATATCCAGATGGTGTGACCAAGTTCAGCAGTGCCTGGTTGGCTGTGTCCTAATAGGTCAGGTGTAACTTAAGCTCCAAATGCCTTATGGCAGTCATAAATTAGACTGAAGATAACTGAGATGAGGCAGGTGTGCTTGTTGAGTTGATTAGAATCAAGGGCAACAAAGCTGGCAGAAATTGTAGCCCTAGATAAAGCCTTGGACTAGAGACAAGTAGCTATTTACTTGATGAGAATTTTGGTAACAGAAAAGCAAGAAAGAAGATGCAGAATTAGGTTTTTCAAATTTGAGATTTTTTTTTTTTTTTTTTTTTAAAGTGAAGGGTCTACAGAGCGTTCAGGATCTCACTACTAGATTGGACTTGTAGTGATCCACCTGTTTACAGCCTCCCAAGAGCTGGGATTACAGGTGCATGTGCCACCATGCTCAGTCTCAGTTGCTGTCTCCACACGCCCCGGGGGCGGGGCAGGCCTGGGAACTGGCCCCTGCTCCTGCTTGCAGGAGCTTTAATCCGCTGAGCTATTTGACCATCCCTAAATTTGAGAATTTTTTTAAGGAACATAGGAATAGCTTCGTAAAAGGCAAACGTGGGGCTGGGGAGATGGCTCAGTAGAATAAGCGCTTCCCTGGCAAGCGCAAGGGTCTGAGTTCAATCCCCAGTTCCTCAAAAACAAACAAACAAAAAAAAGGGCAAACATTTCCCAGGGAACCTGGTTAACTCTGGGTTGGTGTTGAGGACCCAATTTTTTTTTTTTTTTAAATTAAGGCATGGTCTCATTCTGTAGTCCAGGCTGGCCTTGAGCTCACAGCAATCCTCCTGCCTCAACCTGTTGAGTGCTGGGATTACTAGGGTGCAGCACCACACCCAGCTAACAAATGATTCTGATACAGATGACTCATGGACCACGCATTGAGAAATACTTAGTCTAGAAAGATCTCTGGACTATCTAGTTAGCTCTCTTTTAGAAATGTGGAAACAAGTGTGTGGCAAGGGTCTTGCTCAAAGTTGCAGGGTGAGTTGAATGTCAGTGCAGTGTAACTACTTACTCTTTACTCTTCAGCCTAATGGGTGGGTGAAAAGCCAGTCTGCCTCCCAATTCTCAGGTTGCCTTCCTTCATTCTAGTTTGGCTTTTCTTTTTCCAAAGCATATATCACCTTCTAATTGAGAATAATTTACTAATTTACTGTTTGTTATTTGTGTCACCTCCAAAAAATAAAAGCTTGTTTTGTTTCACTGTAGTATCCTATATGCCTCAAATAGTGCGTGACCCATAGTATGAGTTCAGTGAATATTTGATAAATGGACAGATGAAAAATATTTTGTTAAACTACAAGTTAATGGGCATTGTGGAAAAGTATCAGCCATTAGGTATTATTAGTACAAAATAAAGTAGATTTTTTTTTTCATTTATTTTGTTCTGCTTGAATCAGAGGTTTCAGGAACAGCTTGTTTATAAAAGAGTAAACACTAAGGGAATCAATCCTATAATAGTAACAACAGCAGTAGTAATGCCAGTGACAGTACCATTTATGGAATGGTTCTCTATGAAGTTCTAAGCTAAGGATTATCTCATCTAAGGTCTTGTTACAGCCCAGAGGTGAGGAACCAGGATTGGGTTTTCCAGAGGAGGAAAGGTGAGGCTCAAGAGGTGGAGTCACTTTTTCTGGGATACACAGCCTAAACAGATTTGGGATCTGTGATCCTTACAATGAAGTTACCAGTAACATTCAGGTTTTTGGGGTGTTTTCTGTTCAGAGGAAGAATTGAAAAAGCTAAAGGACTAGGTAGCATCACTCTTTGGGATGCCCCCAGGCCAAAAACATCAGTCTCCAAGGTGGTATAAAACCACAGACTGGAAAAAAAACATTTTTTTTTCAGCTCCACTTTCCAGCATTCCCCATACATCCAAATGTTTCCATTCTCACATTACAAAGAACCTTCATCCTGAACTGGTGGGCTTTTCTCACTTCTTAGACAACCTCCCTGGAGCTGGCCAAGGAAAATTCCAGTGGTGACAGGTCATGCTAAAGAATTTCTAGGGAGGCCTCTGCAGCCCTCATTCACACCCCACCTCCTAAGGAAGGGTGGATGGAAAGGGAGCTCCTCCACCCACTTTCTGTAACACTTTGCCGTTAGGCCTCAGGAAGGGGCTGAGGGAGATGATGGCTTTATAAATATGGGCATAATGGAACTCTTGTGAGACTTGGATGGGCCTTTGAGTTCTGGATACACTGTACCTTTTAAACTGCTTAAGAGCAACAGAATGAAGTATCACAACCTGCTGTGGATAATGTTGGCATTCATTCTTAGCTCTGGCAGCAAGGACTGGTCACGCTGCACACATAATGGCAGCAGATCTCATTTAATTTTTATAACGGACAAGATGAGGCATCACTGTCCCACCTCTGGGACACCTCTGAGGCGGCCTCGAGAAATTAGAAACTTGGCCAGTCTCATGGCAGTAGCGAGAGGTAGAGCCATGTACAGGCTGAGTTCTGAGGTTTGTCTTTGCTAGCAGGGCTGGTTAAGAGCATGGACTCTGGAGCCGTACTATTTGGGTTTGAATCTTGACACTGCAACTATCTGGGAGATGGTGGACAGGATACTTAGCTATCACTCTGTGGCTTGTTCATCTGTAGCATAGGATTTATTTAATCCTCAAATATATGAGGATTAAATCTATGTTAAAAATGCACATATATATACATACATACATACTTTTTTTTTATCTGATGGAAACAATCTCAGAAGTTTCAGGATTTTTGTAACCATCCTCACCCCCGCCACTGCTGCCTGCAGATTGTGTCCACATGCTTAAGCAAGCATCGTATATAGAGGATTCATACATTGCACTTATGAGCAGTGTCTGGCATATCATTAGCCCCCGCAGATGTTAGTGGTGCTGGGTATGATACTGCTAAGACACCGAGGGTATCGGAAGGCAGGGATGGGGGGGTCCAGCTCCCAGTTGGTATCATCCTCTGGGGTATATAGATCCAGGAAGAGAGACAGGCACTGTCTAGGTACTCCTTCACAGATTAGGTAAGAACGAAAAGGAGAGACAGTCATTATTTTGCATATAGTTAATGTTATTTTAACGCTGTAATGATGAACATGTATCTTACTAATTTAAAGGTGAGAGGACATGGAAGTGTTCAGAGTTCCTGATCAGGCCACATGAAGTAATAAGATTAGTACTTAAAACTTTCCCAGGGCTGGAGAGATGGCTCAGTGGTCTGAAGCACCTACTTAGAACAAGCTTGGCAAAGCATCAGGGACCACGGTTCAATCCCCCAGCACCACATGCCAGCCGGCCCCGCCCCCTGGTGGGCTGAGCTGGCCACACACACACACCTCTCTCTCTCTCTCTCTCTCTCTCTCTCTCTCAAATAAATAAAAAAATTAAAAAAAAAAAAAAAAAAACCTTTCCCAGAGATAAATTGTCTCAGAACAGTTTTGTGGTGTGCCATTTATTGGAATGAGTATCACCCTCCAACCACCACCACCCTCAGTCTGACCACAGTGTCTTCCGCCTGTCTCCCTTCCCTCTGGGAAGCCTGGGCATCTCTGTTCTTCTGCCATTGCTTTGTGCCTTTTTGTAACTGCATTTCACTTCTCTTGTAGCTTAAGAGTTGGACGGTGGAGGACCTTCAGAAGAGGCTCTTGGCTCTTGACCCCATGATGGAGCAGGAAATTGAAGAGATTCGGCAGAAGTACCAATCCAAGCGGCAGCCCATCCTGGATGCCATTGAGGCTAAGAAGAGACGGCAACAAAATTTCTGAGCAAGACTGAGCCCTGGGCTCTTGTGAATTCTGGACTGCTCGTCCCGTGTCTGTCAGCCAGCACTTACGCTAAGTCGTTTCTCCACAGCACCTTTGTGAACTCAGGAATGTGCGCCAGTGGGAAGGGCTACTTGACGGTCACTGTGCCATCTTGATGTGTGTATTTACGTTGGCCAGGTAGATTATTTCGAAGA